CGCGTCGCAGACCCTAACAAAGACGCAGCCGCCGAGATCGCAGAGCCGAGCCAATAAAAAGCAAACTGATATTACAATTTTGATTTCCCTGGAGGACCGAAGGGGCTTAATGTAAGAATTATTATCCATTGTGAACGGCAGCCGAAAGAAAGCACAGACAGGAAGATTTAAAAAAAATTTTTTTTAACTTAGCGGGTTTCCTGAGAAACATATATTCATTTAAATTTATGCCAGCGGAGTTTGTTAACCCTCCCCTTTGACATTTCAAGCTTCTCCTGTTGCCAGAGGAGAAAAGCCGAGCACAAACCACTAATGCTTGCAATAAAACTAAATGCCCAGGGACGAGCGCGAATCGGTGCAGCCCCCCCAATCCGGGTGAGCTGCGAAACGCGCTCAAGCCCGAGCTGCCGGGAGGCTGCGGGCCGGGGCCGGGCTGAGCCCAGCCCGGCATCTCCCAGGGCGCGATGGGGAGAGCTCGGCATTTCCTAGGACACCGCCGAGAATGGGAGATAAGGAGGGCAGAGAGCTGGCTGGCTGCACACGGGTTTTTTTGTGTTTTTTTTTTTTAAAATTGACCAGGCATCCTTTGTATTTCCACAGAACCTGTCTTGGGAGGGCTATGAGAGGCCGTTGGTGAAATATAATATAAAAAATAAGATGAAAACAACCCTGAAAGCCACTATTAAAAGGATTTTAATCATTCCCGTGTTCATGGCTCTAGAAGCTCAGCACCAGCTCCCATCTGCAGGATGTTCATCTGCTTTCTGTTACCGGGCTGATTGCACATGATTCACAGTAATGATGGTAATGATGGTGATTTTCTATCTCTTGCCTTGCTCAGATAGCAAGCAGTTCATGAACTGATACATCTTTCCCTTTGTCAATTCGAAGGAGGACACCTTATTTGAACCACATAAAATATCCCAAATAAAGAAAGCAGGCAAACGTTTCTAACTGCTACCTCGTCTTGGCTGGCCAGGGCATATTACAAAGACGAGAAAAGAAAAAAGGTTTCCAACCAAAACAAATGAGAGCCAACTGCTGCCTTTTAAAGCCCAAGATAACGGTTGTTTAATACCACACATTTTGTTTATTATGTGCCTGTTTCTAAATCAGGTACAAGATGCAGATATGCATTCTGTGGATATTTTTTCCTCTGCCACACACCTGTGCAAGGAGATATTCCGATTTGTCTTTATCTGTAGAGCATAGTCAATATGGACGTTGCTCCTTTCAGCAGGCAAGACTTCTGTCCGAGGAGGAGGGCGTAAGGAGCTGCCGACGGGCAGACCGAGCTGCTGGGGCTTGGGCCACCTCTCGCCGTGTGCTTGCGCAGCGTGCGGTGCTGCGAGGCCTGATCCCAAGTGGGGGGACTGCCCGGGTGCAGCTGTAAGACAAACTCTAACAGCCTGAGACAGATGGGTTTTCTGCAGGTGCTAGGAAGCATACCAAGGCAATTTTCCTCAAATACTTGCTGGCCATGTTCCCTCCTACCACCCAGAGCTGATGTCTGTCTAGGTTTATTCTTTTCATCATTATTTATAAACTTCTTACCCTGGAGACGGAGCCAGCTCTATGGCAGTGCCTCACTTGGGGTTGAGTTTTGCCTCTCCAAAATACAAGATGCTCTGTTTCCCCTCTCCTCATACACCAGCAGCTCCTGCAGACCTGCTGTATGTTTGCTATCAGGCAGCACTGATTACACATGCCATCATTTTTGATGTTGCTCATTAGTCTGTATCATTATTAGCAATTCAAACCAGCAATTCTTTTCTCAACTGTAATCCTCTAATTCCACCAAGAAGACTATAAGGCTGCAGTTTGGGCATTCAGCTTTTCTCCCTATCTGCCCCAGAAGGGCCAGCAATCCCTTCTGGAAGCCACACAGGCCAGGAAGACACCAGGTTAAGAACTAAATAATAACAGGAAGTTAATTCATAAATAGTTACAGCATTTCCTTCAAGGCCGCTCTCCGAGGCAGCCAGGCATGGACTTTGCAACTCCCTTGCGTGGCTGTGTCCTTGGAGGCATGGGGAGGGGGCTGGGCCCATTCATTCCTACCTGGAAGCCCGCAGCCTCGGCCAGCTGGGCTTGTGGATGTGCCCTTCTGCTTTTGTCAGGCCTGGCTTGCATTTGCTCTTGAGGCTGTGGCCAGTCTGAAACCAGATTATAATATAGCCTTTGCTAAGGTCAACACCATGCTGGAGAGAGACAAGAAAAGGATGAGTAGGTATGCTTGGGGGGGGGAAAAAAAGCAATCAATAGGATGCCATGAGGTAAGATGCACACAATGCAACCCTGTTCCAGGTTGCCAAGGCAAATCTGTCAATAGAGTATTGAACAAGCAAATCTGACTTGCAATTATTGTCTCCTTCTAAATACAAGCTGCCCCTTCGCTTCACAGTTCAAACTCAATTTTAGTGCTGAGAAGCTCAGCTATCGCTGGCACGAGTTATTTCAAAATAGTGAGGGAAGAGTCAGCTCTGCTGCAACCAGAGCTGGAATTTACTGTGATGCAGGCACTGAAAACCCCCGGACTGTCCCCACCACCTTCGCTCCTTTGGCTGCAGTGACATGTGTCCTGCCCCCAGTATAACAGGCTTTCTAAAGCAGAAACAAACAAACCAACCAACCAACCTTTGCAACAAACTGTTTAGCTTTCATAACTTTCAGTAAAACCTACAGGACGTTGGAGCAGGTGAGTATTTTCAGACACTGCTGCAGGAAGAAAACCAATGCACAGACAGCCCAATATTTCTGAACATTCAAGAAAAGCACCAAAAAGAGAGGCATCTTCATTCAGGAGGTCTCTTCCTGCCTGTCCAGTCCTTCTGCCCAAAGACTGATTTGTGTCCTGCAGTCCCGACTTCGCCCCTTGCCAGGCTTTACAGCTCTCACGCTGCTCCCCTCCAGGTAGGACGGCATCCCTCGCCCTCCTCTGGCCATTCCAAAAGCCCCTTCCTCACTCAAGGCTCTGGCTATCAGCGTGGACCAGCCAGTGGCCTTAAAACAAAATACAGTGGTGAGGTGTCTCGATGGCAGCTCCCATCACCCACCCAGAGGCAGCAGCAGTGGGAAAACCCAGAGGTGAAGCCACGGAGAAGCAGGACATTTAAGTGTGGAAATTTAAGTGGCTTCGCAGGAGTGAAGCTGCAGTTGCTTTTGGCACACACAGGGCCGAGTTAGGTGAATTCTTTCCTCTTGTGCTGCTTTCAGCATGAACTAGGAGAGAGGCTGTGTGTAAAACCCCCAAGAAGGAGACACTTGTAGGAAGCACACAATGCAGTTTCACAGCTGCTTTAACAAAGCACAATGGAGCCTGCTTTCATGTGGCTGATGGAGGAGCTGAGATGCAGAATGCACGTGGCACTGTTAGCAAGAGCAGTTGTTTTGGGCATGCATTTGGGAGGCACGAGGAGGCTCCTCTCTGCCATCCCACCCTTGCTCCCCCAGGAGCTCCCCTATGGGAGAGGCAGCTCCGGAGGAAGGAAACGACAGCCCAAATCTGTAGAGCTCCCGTCAGCCCAGGTGGGGAGGCACCACTGAACAGCAGATGCTCAAGAGACTCCATCCCTTGGTGATTCAGATGGAAATAACCCCCGCTTCCCCACAGCCCTTGGCCTTTTCCTTTTTGCCTTCACCCCCAGCTTGAAGCACGGGTGTCAGTGAGGGAGCCGCTGAGACCATCTGTCTTTAATCTTCTTAGAAGCTCTGCAAAAAAATCAGGGAAGTCAGAAAAAATGCTGAGCTGGGAGACAGGCGCTGAAGTCCTGCTGTCCGCTACACCTGGCCCTCCCATCCCTTCTGCAGGGCTCAGCACCGAGCAGGTCCTGTCTGCCCCATGTCCCTAGATCTGGTCTAGAGGAGCAGTGCAGACTGCCTGGGACTCTAGGCCCAGGGCAAACCAGCAGGTGCCGGCAGATGCCGGGGAAGGGTTCCCACCCATGATGGCACCCCCTTGCACGGTGGAAGGCAGAGAAGGGGGCTGAGTGTCTGGGGCAGGAGAGAGTTTGAAATCTTTCTCCCCATGTGCCGTTGAGAGCCTGGCGCACAATGATCTGCGTTGTCCTGTTCTGCACCTTCTCTGCGGTCCTTCTTGACTCCCCAAGCAGCCCTGGAGATGGCTGTACTCCGAGCTCTCTTCTGCTTCTTATCGCTTAAGCTGATGCTATTCCTTGGCAGCTGAGTATAATTATGAGATTTTCTCCATCAGAAATGGGTCTGCGCATGTGTCTCCCACAGGGGCTGCAATCCACTGGTGGCAGCAGCAAGGAGCCATTCAGCTGCCCAGTCAGTTGTGAAAGGATTGAGATGTTTTGTGCAAGCTTTTCCAATCATCTCCATCCACTGGAATCACAAAAAACTTCCATCAAAAAATAAACAGTGCCCACATGCTGCAAGCCCCAGAAAGCTCAACTTTCGAGCCACTCCACAAAATCAAACAAGAAGCTGCTGGAGTCAGATTTAATTTTGGACACAAAACCCCAAGTAAAACACATTCAACAAAGATTCCTCTGCAACAAAAGCCACACAGTGAGCACTGGAATCCTGCGCCCAGACCGAGAGCCTGGATGGCTCACGCTGGCCCTGGCCCAGGCATAGCAGCCTGGAGGTGACTCTGGGGTTTCCTTTCCTTCCAAGCTGCCCTCTCCTTCCTGATGCAGTTTTCCAGGTGAACAGGAGCTATGCCACCCTCATGCTCTTTGGCTGTCCTGTGCGCTCACTGCGGACAGCATGAGAAAGCATGGAGCTCCAAGACTTCTTGCTGAGAAGAGCAGGTTGGAATAGTGATTAGGGTGATGATTTTAAAATGCTATTTTGCCATCAGCTGAGGCTCTGGGAATAAACTATACTCTGTTGCTTCCCAGTGCTTCCAGAGGGCTTTCTCCCCCATGCGACTCTCCAGATTCAGCCAAGAGGACAGGAGGAAATTCCCTTTTTCTTAGGAGCCAGACTGAGAAGTTGCAGCTCATTTCATACCGAAGGTTTAAGGACAAAGGCCTCCAGGCAAATATTCCCACCATCCCAGCAAACAGAAGCTTGGCCTCTGATCACACTCTTTAATGAAAGAAACCACCAGACCACTCCTAATAAAGTGAGTCAAAGCACATACCTCCAGGGTCCTTATCCTTTTTGAGGAAGACAATCTAAGATTTCCATCTAGTACAAACAAAGTCTTGATCTTGCAAAGTATCCACTGGGCACAGGGGTTTGCCCCATGTGGTCTGATTGCAGGATAAGGGGTGGAAGATTCATCTGTGCTACTGGACAGTTAATCAAACGTTCCAAGTCAGCATTTTAACTGGAGCTTCACAGATTGTTCTAGCTCTGCAGGAGCCGCAAGGGAGACAGCTTCTTTGGAAATGTTCTTATTTCGAAAAACAAACCTATCATTTTCACATTTCAGTAATTAGAACTCAAAAAAGTCTGATCCAACTACACCTGAAGTTTCATTTAAAACCATCATCTTTACGTGAATATTATGCACAGGGAAAACCAGCCCCACAAACATCCTCAGGAGATTAAACCACCACCTCAGCCTCAACAACAATACGCGCTGCTAGAATTGCCGTATGCAGCAAAACCTGATTCCTCCACTCGACGTGGCTCCGGAGCGAGCTCGTTCTGCCTCCTCCGCAGCATCGCCAGTCGTCAGCCCTGCTCGCCCTGGCGGCGTGCCCGGACCCCCGCGCCCACCCTCGGCCCAGGCTGCTCCGGCCAGGGCCCCTTCCCGACAGCGGCTCTCGTCCCGCGCGAGCAGCCAAGGCCCCGTGCCCGGTCCTCCCTGGGAGCGAGTCTCCAGGCACCTGGTACCACTCTCTCCTTCACAAGAGGTGGGCAAACACATGGGGGAAAGGGCTTTCTGCCGGGATTTCGGGGGTTCAGGGGGTGGAAACCCCAGCACGCTCGGAGGTGCAGCCCAGCCGCCTTATCTTGTGCGCAGACTCCCAGCTCCCACCCTCACAAGCAAATCTTCCTGAAAGGGATTAGGCTCCACGAGGCCTTCCCAGGCTGCAAAGGAAGCCAAGCTGGTCAGTCTAAGCTATTTAAGCGCAGAGATTGATTGATTTATTTATTTACTAAAAATACAGCTGAGGAGAATGTGCCTGCACTTAGATATAGCTATGAGCTGCCTACTTCAAAGCGGGATGGGCGCAGCCCCAGCCCCAGCCCCAGCATCAGCCCCAGCCCCAGCGGGAGCTCCTGCGGCGCTGCCGAGAGCTGCCCCCAGC